CTGCGTCCCTTCCAAAGAAGAATTTGCTTGGGGAGTTATGGCATGAATTTGTGATGTCTTCTGCTGCCACCACCTGGAAAATCCTATGTAATTCATGAAATTGCCATCCGTGTAGTTCATGAGATCCCCATTTATATTAGTTACGGAGAATGACAGCAATTTGCAGAATTAAAATACATAACAAATTGGGGACCAACTTCTTTACTTTGACACCAGAGGTCAATTCCACCATTTGGCAAGGAAGTTCAAATTGAAGCTGCTAATGAAGTATTTTTGTTTATAAGGGCTTTTGTCTATTTGTTTGAAAAATTAACTCAAGAAGTAGTAGGCTCCCATCCCTGGAGATGTGCAAACAGGAGCTGGATGTCTACTTCTTAAGTATGTCACGAAGTATATATGGGCCGAGCTACATGACTTTGGAAATTCTGAGACTGGGTTATTTGATGAGGTTCCAGGAACTTACAAGCCCGGTGCATAACTTTAACAGTAAAGTCAGCAGTGTACAACAAATCAGCTGCTCCTGCTTGCAGAAGGATACCCTTTGTAGGGGCAGCTAGGTGGCGTGGTGGATAGAGCACCGGCCCTGAAGTCAGGAGGACCTGAGTTCAAATTTGGCCTCAGACCAAACACTTGACACTCACTAGCTGTGTGACCCTGGGCAAGTCACTTAACCCAACTTGCCTAAAAGCCAAAAAAAAAAAGATACCCTTTGTGTCAAGGCAGAAATGAAGATGGTTGTGATGCATTTAGTGATTTGCATTTCCTTACCCTTCCCAGTTTTCTTCAGACCTACTCTCTCAAACCCAGAGTAGAAGACTGGAATCACTTACGTGTTTCGTTTTGCTTTGTTCCTTTCAAATTATACTGAATAATGATACTCATTATGAGTCTATAATAGATCTATAATGAACCTGAACAAATACAGCTAAGCAAATGACTAAACACCTATCCAGAAAGAAAACACACACTTCAGCCCAGGTGGTAAACACATGGAACCGGTTTTCTATAAACACAAATTGGTGCCTTTCAACTCATGCTACCTGTGACATTATTAAAAGGATAAAATACAACATTAAAAATACTAATGCTCTTTGCTGCTTAAAGCTGGAAAAAAAACATACAGATCCTAAAAATAAATTAGTGTGTGTTACATTTGCTTCTTTTGTTTTAAACAATGACTTCCAGACTACAGAGGGAGGGGAGCAGTAAATGGCAAAAAACAGATGGAAAGTGAGTTGTGCAGAAATAAAAATAAATAAGCAATGAAGATCACCATGGTAGAAGGAGGTCGTGTGATATCATTAGCAGAGCATACAGCAGAAGCCAACAGGCCTGTGTTCCAGTATCAGTTCTGCCAAAATCTAGCTGAATGACTTGCACAAGTCACTCTCTTGGGCTCAGTTAGCTCATCTGTAAAATAAGGGAACTGAACGAAGTCATGCTTCAAGACTCTTCCAGCTCTAAGGAGCCTGTGATTGAACCCCAAACCATGCAAATTAGCACTTACTACAACAGTGCTTACTATGTCCAAGGCACCATACTAAGTGTTAGGAACACAAAGATGAAGAAGAAAAATAGTCACTGACCTCAAGGAGCTTACATTTGACTGAAATAATTCTACTAAAATGGTTAAAAACAAGTGAAGTATATTTGCATTATAAATTACACTAAATAAATTGTTATCAAAAACTAGAAGAATATCCCCACAAGGTTGCCTCAATCAAGTCATTTCACATTAATGTTGTAACCAAGATGGGAAATTGCATTAAAAGGTCATGCAGCCAGTCACCCACCTATTTGTACAACCCTGGTCCTATGGCACTGCCCCTTAATACTCATTTTACCTAAGGATATTTGGTAAGATATCCATTCCTCAATTGCTATAGATCCACAGAGTGAGACAGCACACTGTTTGCTCAGTCATTTTTTCAGTCATGTCCCACTCTCTGTTACCCTATGTTGGGTTTTCTTCCAAAAGATAATGAAGTAGTTTGTCATTTCCTTCTCCAGATCATTTTACAGATGAGGAACTGAGGCAAACAGGGTTAAGTGACTTGCCCAAGGTTACACAGCCAGTAAGTGTCTGAGGTCAGATTTGAACTCATAAAGATGAGCCTTCCTAACTTCAGGCCTGGCACTCTGTGCCACCTAGTTGCCATAGCATGCTGTTAATCTCTGGGAATTGTCCAAGAAAAAAAATAAAGAGGGGGTAAGGGGAAATAACAAACTGCTTTAAAACCAAAAGCATCCCTTTTATTAATACATCCTAATGAGAAGGAGGGGGGAGAAGAGAAAAACTAATTAATAAATCACATTCAGTCAAATAAGCCCTTCATAATCTCCTAGCATCAGTATATGCACCAGTTTCAGTTGTCCTGTGCTAAAGCGAAAAATCTGGGCTAGGCAAGCATTAGGGTTTATGATGAAATCTACACACTTGGAGGGTGGGATAGCACATTTTTATTTATTTATTTAAATAACAGAAACTCCAGATGCATGGAGGTAACATAATTAATTTCAAGGATCTTCCAAAATAACCACTTTTAGGATCCAAAGAGAAGGTGCTATCTCCTTTGAATGGTCATGAAGAATCTGGAATTTTAAGAGTAAAATCACAAAATTGAGCTTTTCTGACATGAGCTATTCCTGATAAAACTGGTAGAGAGGAAGTTTCCTTTCCTTCACTTTCCATCTAGCCCTCAGGCCAAAGAGGTAGGTACACACACTATTCACACACCCATGCACACCCAAAGCCAACTTTAAAACATGCCTATACAAACCATCCTTACCACACCACTTTTAACTCTCAAAGTAAAGCACATCATAAATACCAAAAACATTTCTAGGTTCCTAACGATTAAAGGATATATAAAACCAAAAATCTAGTGTAACTCCTTTTGAGTAGCTAAAGCAAGTTAAAGCAGAACTTTCGGTGTTATTAAAAGAAAATGTTAACCTACAAGACTTCTAATGGCATCAGGTTACTGCCAGGTCTATGCAAACTAAATGGAAGTCATGCCATCACCTTACCAAGAATATTTCAAATTAAGAAATGAGAAAAAATTGAATTTGGGAAGGATAGGATGGAGTGAGGGACCACCATTTGGGATAATGGTCTGTTCCTTCCATATCACCTTAGAAATGTAATTTTGCTTTTATAGATGTCTGGCCTTCATCTCATACCACTCCCAATTATTCTTCCTGAAAGTGAGGATCTCTAATCCAATCCACACCACCACCAGCTCTTCTCCACCTCCACCAAAAAACATCAACAACAACAACAAAAACCCACTCATATACAACTATGACAAATGGGTTTTCACTCTTACACAATCGATTCAGTTCTAAAAAAATGAAACTCAATTAAACCCTTGCCCCAACCCCTATTTCCCATCTCATTTTTCCTCCACACCTTTCATTTTCAATCGAGGGAATATAACACAATTCAATTCAACAAATATTTATTACGGCCTCTGTATACAGAGCACTGTAAGGAGAGGATGGGGTGAGGGGGAGGGTTGGCTAGAGACAGAAGGTTTAAACAAGACAGTCCTTGCCACAAAAACTCCAACGTTAGATATGAGATATCACTCCTTGGGGGGGGGGGAGAATGAGCCCAAACCGCAACCTCTGAGCTATTGCAAAACCTCAGCGGGAGCGGGGTGCGGAGTGAGAGTGGGGGGAGAGAGATGATGGAAAGAGGGGGATAGGAAAGAGAAACTCCTGCCCCCTAAGACTCATTAGAACAGGTGCCTTTTGTACCTCAACTATGCCATTTACTGAAAAGCCATGAAGGGGTGCAAAGAACAGTCTGCCTCAAAGACCGAAGGAGAAAAAAAAGATCCAGCCCGCTCACGACTGCTAATCTTCCTTTTTCCCCGGGCACCGTCGCCACTTCCCCCATCTTCACAGGGAGAAAAATATATAAAATCCAAGAAATAGGAGCTTTCTCTGGCTTTCATAAGTGATCTATCCTTGACGCTAAAAGGGACCTTAGAGACCATGTGCTGCAACCTCGTCTTTTTAGAGATGAGGAAAGAGAAATTTAGAGGAAGGTAAATGACTTGCTCAGGATCACACAGGTAGCCAGTAACAAAGTCCGGACTCTAACCCAAGTCCACTGACTTAACTGAATCTCTGACTGGTGTTGGAATTTTATCAGGCCCGTTCTCAGGTCATATTATCTTCCCAGCTCTCCTTCCGAACCTGCCTCCTCCCAGGTATACTGTCCAACAGACAAATGAAACAGAAAAACAATGCACCTCAGCTCTGCATCCTAAAACACAGATCCCTCTCCCTGGCCACAGTCCAGCCTCCTCCCAGGTATACTGTTTCTCGCCAGAGAATTTTCAGACCACCACTGCCCGGCCCCAAATCCACTTCCCCTTCCCCTCCTGGGACAAAGAGACCCCGCCTCCAGCCAAGGAATATAACACAGGAACTTTTTTTTTTAACTCTTCTTTTACTCCTCCGGCCCTCTAGCCACGGACTAGGACGTGGGGGGCGGGGGTGGATGGGAGAGGGAGGGAAAGGGATGGGAGAGAGAGAGAGAGAGAGAGAGAGAGAGAGAGAGAGAGAGAGAGAGAGAGAGAGAGAGAGCGAGCAGAAGAGGCATAGGCGCTCAGAAGAGTGCCCCACCCCCGGAGCCCCTTCACAGCCTTGCTAGCCAGCCACACCATGCGCCCAAGTTCCGCGGGTGGAGAACAGGAACAGCTCCTTCCTCCTTCCCAGAGGCTCAAGCCCCCGCTGCACACTGGTGGAGCAGGGCAGAATAGGGCAGGGCAGGGCGAGGCTTCCCAGGTATACAGTTCCTGGCGGGCAGACAAGACTTCATAGGAAAAACTTAGAGGATCCAGCGGGAGGGCGGCCGCTCCCCTCCATTCAGAAAGGGGGGCTTACTGCACCAAGAAGCCTTGCCAGAGCATCGGCGAGAAACCCCCTCGGGCCCGATCGGCTCCCGGTCCTTTTGTCCCTTTCAGACCCCCAGGTCCCTTGCTTACCCCAGAGCAGCACCAGGAAAAGTCGCAGCCACCGCCGCGCTCGCAGTTCCATCGCGCTCGCTCCGGAGAAGCCTTGTAGGAAGGCTTCCAAAAGAGGAGAGCCAGGGGCCGGCTCGGGCTAGTGGAGGCGGGGAAGGGAGGGACGGGGAGGGGAGGATCGGAGGAGGAGCTGGGGATAAGGGGGAGTCCGAGGCGGCCCAAGGTAGGTGAGCTGCTACAGCAGCGCCCACCAACCCGGCTCAGCCTGGTTGTGCCTGATGATCCAGCACTCTCTCTTCTCCGCCTCGTGCTTCCCTGGCTCAATTCGTCTGCTTTCCCAGCTGGGGCGCAGGAGCCGGAGGAGAGCCAACGACATTGCGATCCCCCCCCCCCGACTCCCGCTGCCCCCGCCTCCTAAGCAGAGGCAGACCGCCCCTCAGCGCCCATCAACTGGAACTCTCCTGTTTCTTCTTTTTTTGGGGGTTGTGGTTTGTTTCCTCCCCCACGGCAGGTCCTCTTTGCATGGGTCAGAGGATGAAGAGGATGTAGTGGCTATTCTGGTATCCTCCAGGGGAGTTAGGGGCCGGAACCACTGAGAAGCAGGACTGCTGGAGGAAGGACGGACATAGGGAGAGAAAAAAGCCGGGACCCTGGAGAGGCTGAGTGTTTGTGTGTGTGGGTGTGGGTGTGTGTATCCGTTTTGCTTTCTTTGTGCATCAGCACGTGTACATGTGTATATGTAGCTGTTATCGTTCCTTTCTCTGCCAAGACTCTCCAAACACCTTCATTCAGAGGGCTTAGTGGCCACACACACACACACACACACACACACACACACACACACGCACACACACCCCTTTTTTCTCTCTTCAAGCACCAACGCTTAGGGCGCATTGATTAAGCAGCTTCTGCTCCCTTTTATCCTGGGGCACCGCTTAAGACCACTCTGATTTTTCTTGACTTCTCAAGAACTATTACTCGAGGACCAGCACTATAACCACTGTACCACTTAGCTACCTTGAGATGGGTCTAAATGGAAAGAGCAGATATGAAGGCTGTCCAAAGATAGCTACCTATTCCCAAACCATTAAACTCTTTTCCTATATTCTTTTAGTTGTGATAATAATAATAGGTGGCATTTATAAGACGTTACTAGTGTCTTACTAGTAGCCCTAAAGATGAGGAAACTGAGGCTCTGAGAGGTTGCTCATGGTCCCTGATCAGTGACTGAGGGGTAATTTGAACCCAAGTTTTCTGGCTCCAACTTGGGCATTCTTCTTGGTAAACCAGGCTACTTCTCTAACATACAAATGTAATATGTGATGTTATTTTCATCAGAACCACAACTATTCTATCAGAAGTCTGTTTTCTGCAATTCCTCCTGTGGCTAGCACTTAATAAAATGTACTGACACTGGTGATAGCTTTATGCTACTGTCTAATACTGGAAGATATGACCTTGCTTTTTTCTCTCCATTTTTAAGGTTTATTTTCATTTTCCTTCCTTCTGAGAAAAAAAAGAGACTGATATAATGAAGGAGTCAAGATTACTTGTACCTTTCAACTTGAATAAATCTAAAATTATATTTCAAGGGATTGTTTCCTGTCCTCCCCCAAAATTAACTGATGAGCTCTCTCCATCTAAGGAAATTCATAAGACATAAAGCAAAGTGGTTCTGGAGGTCAATAGCAAGTGTCTTGTCAAATTTATTATACCATTATAAGGACACTTTAAAATTGGGAGCTATTGAATGTGATCATGACTTCCACCATATGTAATGCTGATGTGGCAAATAAAATCAACCTTTAGGTATGCTGAGGTACCCAACTCCCAGCAAAATCAGTTTATTGACAGTGATGTATATATCTGTTAATAAAGTGGGTCAGACTGGCAACTTCAGTAAAGCCAGGGACCCCAGTGAGGAGGGGGCCTTTTTATTGACACACAACAAAAAAAAGTCTTGGTAATTGTGGAACATTACTATTGGCTATACTAAGAAAGGTGGGTTAACATTCAAGTGAGTCTAGCCACCCCTTTTCTGACAATGAAGAGCAGCTATATGGGGCAGCAGAGTGTCAGGCCTAGAGTCAGGAAAACTTGAGTTCAAATCTGGCCTCAGACACTTACTAGCTGTGTGGCCCTGAGCAAGTCACTTAACTCTGTTTGTCTCAGTTTCCTCATCTGTAAAATGAGCTGGAGAATAAAATAAAACACCACTCCAATATCTTTGCCAAGAAAACCCCAAATGGGGTCACAAAGGGTAAGACATGAAATTACTGAACAACAATAAAAATTGTTTTATGGGACCCATCTCTATCTTGTAATCTTTGCTAGGGGATCAAAATGACTAGACTTACTGCCTCCTTGAAAGAGATAAAAACTCCCCTAATTGCACAAGGATAGGCAAGGACAGACAACATATCTTTTAGGGATGGTACCAAGTTAACTTGTAGGACTTAAAGATGACAAATAGATGTCCCAGAAATACACTGGTATGAGAGATAATAACTTTTCTTTAAATTATAACTTTAACTCGGAGGGACAGCCGAATTCCTGAGCTCAACTCGAGGACATAGAAAGGTAGCTTTAGGCAAATGTAAACTCAATTATAAAAATCAATACAGCATAAAATCAATTATATTGTAGGATCAATATAGTCAAAACTCGAGGTACTATTAATTTGATCCTCTCACTGAATTATACTGGATCATATCCAATTTTCCAGACACCAAGTACAGGCATCATCTTCAGCATTGATAGACTTTACAGTTTCATAGTTTATGTTCTGTTCAATTGTACAATGAACAAATATTATCCTAAGTGAAAGCAACCCACCACAAGACAACAAAGCGAGCACCACACCCATGTTATGACAGCTGGGAGGTCCATTAATCTAGAAATTATTAAGTGATTTTTAAACTCTTAAGTCAGGTCGCCCAAGTTACAGCTTCCAATGAACTAGAATAAAATGACCAAGTCCAAAAAGCAAATGTTTCCCCTGTATGAAATACACAAATAGATTATGAATATAAATACTTTAGGATAAATACCCTTATGGTATGATGTAACTGCAGTTATTTCTGGGTATCCATACTTCCTATTGCTACCTTCTCCCCAAAACAAACTTCCATAGCCCTCTGTAAGTTGTCCAGTTAAGCCAAAGCCCAAGGTACCAAATGGGTGGGGTGCAAAGAAGTAGGAAGAGAAAAGAAGGGGTTTTGCTCTCCCACAATGCTTAGACCTGTGATTCTATCCATATGGGCACTCATTCTACAGAAGCAGATAAGAACCAGAGCATTAGTCTTAGAGCATTACCAGAGGCTCAGCCCAAAATCATACATTAATTTGTGTCAGAGGTGAAACTCGAACTCAGGTCCTTCTGTCTCTAACCACTGCAATGCTGCATCTCATAATACACATAGTAGGTGCTAAATAAATATTGGTTGGTTTTAAACCATATGATAAAGACAGAGGATCTACTGTAGGCCAATGGGAGAGAGATTATGAGGCAAGGAGGAATATTCAGCCAGTAAATCATGGCCACAAGTGATGGTCTTCTATGCCTGTTAATGGCATGGGGGAGTAGGGAGGGAAAGGGAGAAATATCCTCTGATTTCTTTCTTTCAAGCCTGGTACCTGTGTAGAGCTGTGGGGAGGAGGGGAAAGGTTTGGGGGCAGGGGGTTAGAAAGAGGAGACAGATTGTTCCTTAGTTTAAACCAAACAGGGCAGTCACTTATCTCCTGTCATATGTTCAAAAGGAGAGAATGACCTATGAAAACATTTCTCTAAATTTTTGAAATTTTTGGAATTTTTTGGAAAACCAGGGACCAGCCACCCTCATCGCATCCCACAAGTCATACTAGAGATAGTTTCCATTACATAGTAACATGGTAATTATAACTAACATTTACATATGTCACAATAAATTTTCTCCTCATAATAACTCTGAAAGGTGTTCTTGGTATCCCCATTTTACAGATGAGGACACTAAGGTTGAGTGACTTGGTTGAGTGACTTGCACACACAGCTAATAAGTGTCTGAGGCTTGACTTGAACTTGTCTTCTCCTATATAAGGCCATTTACAAGGACCTCTGTCAAAACTACATAGCTGGGCCTTCCATTCTTGTGTCCATTCCTTCACAGCTACACTCAAGTATTCTCAAGCCTGTGGCAGGACTATATTCCCAAATTTTGTCACCTTTCAGTAACCAGTTACTAACACTTAAGCTAATAATGCCTAACCTCCCACCCAAAGAAATAAGATACTATTAGGGTCTCCCCCATTTCCAGTCCATATTACATACACTGCAAGAATGATATTCAACTGATTGTGTAGAGATGCAATTGTGGGACAGAGAGAAAAGCATTGGATTTGGAGTTACAATCTGTGTGAATCACATTTGTATAAGCTTTAAGGTCTGCAGAGTGCCTTCCTCATGACCACCCCATGAAATATTAATGCACATATCATGATGCCTCTTTTACATATGAGGAAATTCACTGAACTTCCCTCAGCTTCAGTTTCACCTGAAAAATGAAGGAGTTAGACTAGATTTTCCATCTATAAATCCTATGATCCATATCACTTTTGCGGTCAAGAGCTTTCTATGGTTCACTATTGCCTCTAGAAGCCCAACTCTTGGTCTGCTATTAAATTTCCCTTGTTTTGGCTCCAACCTTATTTATTTCCCATTACTCTCCATTTATGTCTCATACATATCTATGATGAAGCCTGCTTTAGGCTCTCAGGAGCTGATTGTTAAATCAGGGGAAATAAGTAATAATCTTGGAAATAAGCAAACCCAACACATTACAGTTTAATTTGTTGTTTTGTAGACTGTCTGCATTTAAGGAAGTGATGGGGGAAAGTATCAATAATGAAGATTGTGCTGAAAAGTGTGTCAAGCTTACATTCTTTCAGTCCGTGGTTAAGCGTTCCCCAGTATGCCATCCATTCCTATTAAAATTAAACTCCTTCCTATTCCCTGAATATACCTCACAACTTCTAGCCTCTGAGCCTCTGTGCACATTGTTCCCTTTGCCTGGAATACTCCTTCCCAGTTCCACTTGTTTATTTCCTATCCATCCTTTGGACCTCATTCAAATACCACCCCTTCCGTGAAGCTTTCCCCAGTCTTCTCCCCAAAGTAATCAAGAGATTACTTCCTATGAAGTTCAACAGCTCTTTGTTCTCCCACAGGCTTTTCCCATTTTCCCATTCCAGTTTGCAATGTAGTTATCTGTTTATCTTAATAACCTACTGCAAGGTTAGCACAGATGGCAGGGAAGATACTTTCTTCATCTTTGTATTCCCACAATGCTTGGCAGTGCCTTCTATATGGTAGACACTGGATAAATATTTGCTGAATTAGAGACATCTCCATCTGCTACATCCTTCTCAGAACCCTACATTCCTTCATCTCTTTGGAAACCCTGATTCCAGTCTTCCGCTGGCATCCATCAGAAAACCAAAACATAAAGTAACCCTCCCCATGCTACAGCATTTTTCTTCCAGTTCTAACAATAACAAAAGAAAAGCCAAATTATCACATTCCGAACATTGGTTAGACAGTAGTCACACTTCAGCTGGAAATTCCCGAAAAGAATTGCATCCACCAG